GTGGTGGCGGAAGCGGTTTTGCGCAGCGGTTCGTGCACTGCGCCGGGAAAAACTCCACACGCACGAACCTCTGATGGGCTTGGTGGGTGCTACGCGCGAGAGAAGTCCAGCGTGCAGACACGCGCGCACCTACGAGGAGGGGCAGGAGGGAGCTGGCACGGAGGAGCGGCGTCGGTTTTCACAGCGGGCGGCGGTGGGGGAGAGGGGGAGGGATTCAGAGTTGGGGGGGGGGGGGCACACATGGGTCACGTGGTCTACGGGAGGCTTCAGCTGGTTTAGAGAGAGAGATATCAGCAGATGAGAGAGGTTCAGGGTGGGGGGTGGCTCACACACGAGTCACGTGGTCTACGGGAGGTTTGAGCTGGTTCAGAGAGAGATATCAGTAGATGAGAGAGGTTCAGGGTGGGGGGTGGCTCACACACGAGTCACGTGGTCTACGGGAGGTTTGAGCTGGTTCAGAGAGAGAGAGAGATCAGTAGATGAGAGAGGTTCAGAGTGGGGGGTGGCTCACACAGGAGTCACGTGGTCTACGAAAGGTTTGAACTTTTATATCCTGTGTACACTGTATTTATAAATATCATGGGACCTCCTTTGCCAGGACCAAAATAAGAGAATAGGGTTTCCCCTTTAATCTGGCAACAAAACAGCTTTGTTAAGTTGTTAAAACACCAAGCTGAAATCTTTTACAAGGAATCATGTCTGCATTAACCACAATGCTTGTGGTCAAAATGCAAACAAAAAAACATACTCTGATAATAAATGCATTGTCTTTGAAACTGATTGGTCCACACCAGAGACAGCTTTCTTTTGAGCCTCGTCTTTAACGGTGTTAGACCAAAAGGCGTCCTCTGGTCTACGGGCAACACAAACAATGTTTGTGTCTATTTGTTTGTGTTTCTACCTTGTGATGGGACTTTGTAGGATGAACGTTGAAATTTATAAGGGACACGGGGTGACCAATAACGGTCTGAAGCGGTCTCTAGTAAGGTAGAGGCACGGATAAGGGATTGACAGGCATGCGAACTCCGACTAGACAGCAGTCGTCTATGTCGGGATCGAACCCACCGACCTCCTGTATACCAGGCGAGGTAGTTAACATCTCCGAGCCACCGTGATGATGATGATGATGCGAGATGTATACGGGCACGGGGGTGACCAATATGCAATTGAATCGTCACAAATGGCATGCAATGGGAATCGCACAGCAAGTTCAGCAAACATCGCCCCCTACCGCCGGGCAGCAGACGGACGATTATTATCTGAACCGGTCGGCTGACCCTCCCCTAGGTCGGCTCAGCCTCAAATGAGTAGCTGGTGCGGTGTGTAGCAAGGCCGTAGCCATGGAGTCAACATTGGGGGGAACCAAATCTTCCAGGGGGTCCCCCCCAGAAAAAAAAAAAAAATCTAAATTTGAAAACTCATTTCCTGCCTAAAATATAAAAAAAATTCACTAACACATGGGATGGACTTTTTATTTATTTTGTACAATAATGTCTAATAGTGTATAGTATTACATTGCTCTGTTTTTTTATTTTTTTACCTTTTCTTGTTTCATTGTTTGTAATGACAGAGATTAGGGATTAATAAAGTACAACCATAACCACAATCATATAAACAGCAATCCATGCATTGTTATATGAAGACAAGTCCAGATATTGTGGCCAATTTGAGTTGTTTTTATTTACATAACATAGCAGTAATTATTTTGTTATATTTTTGATATAAATATATTGGGGGGGACATTTTGAGCATATTTGAATATTGGGGGGGGGGGGGTGTGTCGTCCCCCCCCCCCAATATCTATTATAATGACGGCCTTGGTGTGTAGTAAATCGCCACTGGGGAGACAAAGGCGGCCGGGACGTGGTAGCTGGCCACCCCCGCGCGTGCCACAGTGCCGGCACTTGCCCCAACAGCCTGTTGAAGGCTACACGGGGGATCTTTGTCCTTGCATAGCTCAGGAAGCGTGCCCGTGGTCCATCTGTGAGGAAGTTGATAAGCGTTGGCAGCAGATTTGCGGCGAACAATTGTATATTTATTTTGTATTGTAAGTGTTTATACATGCGCCGCAGATCCAACAAAGGGCTTTCACAGTTCCGTACAGAAAGTAAAAAAAAGCATTTGTAGTTTACTGAACATATCCTAGGAAATAAGAACGGGGGGGGGGGGGTTTAGCTGCTTTCTAAATGGGCAGGAATCTCAGCGGTCGGACGCAGAGAGCGTTCCAAATCTGGGGCGCGACAAAAGGCGCTGGAAAAGGGCCGAGCCCCGAAACGTTTAATGTTGTCCCGAAAAGCGGTGACCGACAGGCGGCGCGAGTGACGAATTCTTGAACCGATCCTCGGGTCCCTCCCCCTCCCACCGCCCCCACTTAGGTCGACTCAGCCTCAAATGAGTGCCCGGTGTGGCGTGTTGGTAAACGTCGCCACTCGGGGGGGAGGGCGGGGGTGTCCAGGCCGGCTCGTCGTCATGTGCCGGTTCCGGCGGCCTTCAAAGGCGCCGCCGCTACTCGCCAACGGCGCTTGCCCCCGCACGGTCTTCGTAGCCCGGTGTGGGCAGCAGTTTCCGCAGTAGCAGCCCAGGAAGGGCAGCCTGGGAAGGGCAGCCCGGAGGTGGGCTGTAAAAGCGTGGTCGAGTTTATCGGTCAAATAAATGTTAGAGGCGATTGCTTGAGCGCGTGCTTTGTGAGTTCAAGCACCGCCATTTTAACTGCACCTCAGGTTAAGGCCAATCGGTTTCAAGGACCACGTGTTGTACATTTGTGTGTGTGTGTGATCTTGGTATCACAATAAATGTGTGGTGAATGCAGACTTGATGTCTTTACCTAATTGATGTGTATTTGGTGAATTGCTTGAGGTGCGCCGATGTGTCGTGGCATTTTAAAGCTCTGATTAAAGACATAATCATTATTGGATTTCCATGAGAACTGGTGAAATCGTGAATCTGTTATTAGCTACGCTCGCTTGCCCGGGCAAAGCCCTCGCTTACTCTGAAGACTCCTCTTCTTTTCAGCAAGGTCCTGACAAAGTGTTCGCAGTCGTGGGAGGGTGGAAGATGATTTCCTGTGCACCGACGTACGGTGCGAAAGAGGTTCAACGTACATCGCCCTCAGCCCATACGGCTTACTCCGTATTCCTTATTGGTCACCCCGTGTCCCTTTTAAATCTCAACGTTCATCCCACAAAGTCCCATCACAAGGGAGAAACACAAAGACATTTGTTTGTGCCCGTATAGAAAGGACTGTACGCCGTGTGGACCAGAAAACTGATTTCCCCTGTACAAGAGCACGGGGTAAACCGTGATGGGTTGACAGCTGTGATGATGATGATGATGAGACATCGTCTCTGGCTGAGTTGTGGGATGTCTGTGCAAGCCGGCCGGATGTATCGGCTGCGGCTGCGCCCTGGTCCGCTCCCCGAGACAGATTTGTACAAATGAGGTTTTTGTTCCTTCTTCCAATTCCTGTTTTAAATAATTAATTGTCTGTGTAATGACGAATTGAGATGGCACTTTATTGAAGAAACTTCACTAGACATCAGGCGGGGACTCCATTGCAACAGCCCCGAGTCTCCCACGCATTTCCTTCTTACGTATATACCGACCGAGGCCACGCCCCCCTTCTCGATCATTCTCGCTGATTCTGGACGCTCGCTCCACCGTCCTCTTCCGTGGCCTGACCACGCTCCCTTCTCGATCATTCCCGTAGCCACCAGTCCCTTCGCATTCACAGCTGACTCCCCTGTCATTACCTCCTGTAGCCACCAGTCCCTTCGCACTCACAACTGACTCCCCTGTCATTACCTCCCGTGGCCACCAGTCCCTTCGCACTCACAACTGACTCCCCTGTCATTACCTCCCGTGGCCACCAGTCCCTTCACACTCACAGCTGACTCCCGTCATTACCTCCCGTGGCCACCAGTCCCTTCGCATTCACAACTGAATCCCCTGTCATTACATCCCGTGGCCACCAGTCCCTTCGCACTCACAGCTGACTCCCCTGTCCTTACCTCCCGTGGCCACCAGTCCCTTCGCACTCACAGCTGACTCCCCTGTCATTAACTCCCGTGGCCACCAGTCCCTTCGCATTCACAACTGAATCTCCTGTCATTACCTCCAGTGGCCACCAGTCCCTTCGCACTCACAGCTGACTCCCCTGTCATTAACTCCCGTGGCCACCAGTCCCTTCGCATTCACAACTGAATCCCCTGTCATTACCTCCAGTGGCCACCAGTCCCTTCGCACTCACAGCTGACTCCCCTGTCATTACCTCCCGTGGCCACCAGTCCCTTCGCATTCACAACTGACTCCCCTGTCATTACCTCCCATGGCCACTTCTACCGCCACTTTCGGCACGTGCCCTTGTCCTGGCTTCACCCGGGATTGTTCGTCCACAATGTTGCCCCACAGCTGTCCTGGGGAAGAAGAAAAAAAAACACCAAATCTGTTCAATCTTCCCAGGACGTGAGAAGTGCCGGTGGTTTTTGTTTCGTCACCGTAATGACACCGCTCGAGACGATGCATTTACACGTTCATATTCATGCACCGCATGTGGGACCTCTTTCACACCGTACGTCGCCGACCGTGCTAATCGGAGTCACGGGGGAACCGCACGCAACGGTATTCCTCCCGTCTTGTGGCACCGTGAGATATTTCTCCGTCCATGATGTTGCCCTGGGTGGGTGGTGTGGGGTTTGTTCTTTTTGTAAATCAGACGTAGGCAACCCTAAACCCCAGGGCCGCCGCACACGCGTGGCTGGGCAGCCCAGGTGGTCACCCCACGCTGGCGCTCAAGAGGACCTCGACCCCCAGATTCACCGGCTCTGTGGAGCTCGCCGATCTCGTGGTTTGGCCGTGAGGTTCACTCCGAGGATTCTTCTCGTGAGCGCATTGGCAGCGAGAACATTTCCGCGAAACCGAGAATTGGGCAACGCGGGTTGCCGGCATGTGGCCGCCGCAAAATTGACACACGGAGGAAGCGAGCCGAAGCGACACCACCACCACCCCGCCCCGCCAGCGATTTTCTGAAATTCGTTGGCGACCAAACGCAGCCGGTCGCAAACCAAGTCGGCTACTCCGTCCGCACCGGTCGCAGAGCGTCTCTCCCCGCCTCGTCTCAGCCGCGATGATCGCGCGGATGGAAGATGTCGCCCTGCTGCTGGCCACGTCCTTGTTGAGCTGCTGGCAGAATGGTGAGGACTGTGTGTGTGTACGTGTGCGTGTCTGTGTGTACGTGTACGTGTGTTTTCTCATTCCAGTTCTCCGCTCAACAATCGAGGGCTTACGTGCGCTGGGGCGCTCAATGCCCCGGCTTCTGAAAGCGCCTCCCAAACATCAAGCCTCGTCCCCTAGGGGACCCCCCCCCCTCTAATGGCAGCTGTCCCTGTGCAGCACAAGGTGGAGGTGTACATGGCACGCGTGCGTGTGTATATTGTACGTGCGTTGAACTTCGTTGGCACAGGTACGTAGCCAACCGTGCCAATCGGAGTTGCGGGAGGGGGGAAGGACAACAAGCTAAACACAGAAAGCAGTTCTAAAGGAACGAGTTCGTCAATCCGGGTGATGTTTTGAAAGGGTGTGGCTCCAGCGGCTTCCCAACATCGGCAGGAAGAGCGTTCCAGACGGCCGCAGAAGCGCATCTGAAAGCGCCGCGCGACGATATGCAGGAGGTGGTGGGTTGGATCCTGACCCTGACGAAGCCTGCTGCTGTGTATTTGGAGTTTTCGTGTCTCTCTCTCTCTCATCATCATCACGGTGGCCAGGAGATGTTAACTACCTCGCCTGGTCCGGAAGAGGTCGTGGGTTGGATCCTGACCCTGACACCTGCTGTATATTTGGAGTTTGCGTGTCTCTCTCTCTCCGTGGTGAGATGTTAACTACCTCGCCTGGTACGCAAGAGGTCGTGGGCTGGATCCTGACCCTGACGACGCCTGCTGCTGTGTATTTGGAGTTTGCGTGTCTCTTTTGATGTCCCCTGCATGTTAGAAACGCGCGTTTCGAGGTATCAATGTCCACACGTCGCTGAGCTGTCGTTTGTGGCCGGGTCGCTTCTGAATGAGAGCTCGGTAGCTCTGCGTCGACTTGCGTGGTGAGATAAAAAAAAATGAAGAGTTTAGTTTTAAATAATAAATTACATGACAGGTGACGTTTTGGGATGTGGTCCTTCTTCGTTGCATATGATGGAGAAGTGAAAACACCCACGGATGCATCCGTATATGAGCAATGTTAGTCTATGGGCTGTGTTAGTCTATGGGCTGTGTTAGTCTATGGGCAGTGTTGAGTCTATGGGCAATGTTGGTCTATGGGCAATGTTAGTCTATGGGTAATGTTAGTCTATGGGCAGTGTTAGTCTATGGGCAATGATAGTCTATGGGTAATGTTAGTCTATGGGTAATGTTAGTCTATGGGTAATGTTAGTCTATGGGTAATGTTAGTCTATGGGAAATGATAGTCTATGGGAAGTGTTAGTCTATGGGCAATGATAGTCTATGGGCAATGCTAGTCTATGGGAAGTGTTAGTCTATGGGCAATGATAGTCTATGGGCAATGCTAGTCTATGGGAAATGATAGTCTATGGGCAATGCTAGTATATAAACTATGTTAGTCTATGGGCAATGCTAGTTTATGGGCAATGCTAGTATATAAACTATGTTAGTCTATGGGCGATGCTAGTATATGGGCAATGCTAGTCTATGGGCAATGTTAGTCTATGGGAAATGATAATGCTAGTCTATGGGCAATGCTAGTATATAAACTATGTTAGTCTATGGGCGATGCTAGTATATGGGCAATGCTAGTCTATGGGCAATGTTAGTCTATGGGAAATGATAATGCTAGTCTATGGGCAATGCTAGTATATAAACTATGTTAGTCTATGGGCAATGCTAGTCTATGGGCAATGCTAGTCTATGGGCAATGCTAGTCTATATAAACAATGCTCGTCTATGGCGAGCCGAGCCAACTCAAGCCGAGCCAGCCACCGGCCCACGGGGATGAGAACGCTCACGTTGTGCCCCCCCCCCCCCCCACAGCATACTTCCTCCAGATGGTGGTGAAGATGCGTAGGAAGTACAACATCAAGCATCCCTTCGTGACGGGCAACACCGAGCTGGAGACCGTCTACAGGGCCAAGTGAGCCACCCCTCACCACCACCACTCCACTACCGCTTCCGTCTGCCCCCCCCTCCCAACCTCTGCTCTTAGCTCATTATAACAGTGCAGTCTGTTATCCTATAAAGCTGTCGTTGCGTTCCCGTTGTGGAATAATCGCGTTGTGATGAGTGACAACACGTGGATGTAGGGAGTACAGCACAGCCCGCCATAACACGTGTGTTTGCGTGCGTAGCCAAAACCTGCAAGACTACTACCCCATCTTCCTGGTGACGATGTGGACCGCCGGCCTCTTCACCAGCTCTGGTGCGACCTCCCGACGAGTCCTGACCACCCACAGGGGCACCGAGGCCACGTGCCACACACACCACGACATCACGTGACCCACGTACCACACACACCACGACACCACGTGACCCACCTACCACGCACACCACGACACCACGTGACCCACGTGCCACAAACACCACGCACACGACACCACGTGACCCACCTAGCACACACACCACGACACCACGTGACCCACCTACCACGCACACCACGACACCACGTGACCCACGTACCACACACACCACGACACCACGTGACCCACCTACCACGCACACCACGACACCACGTGACCCACGTGCCACAAACACCACGACACCACGTGACCACCTGCCACACACACCACGCACACGACACCACGTGACCCACGTACCACACACACCACGACACCACGTGACCCACCTACCACACACACCACGACACCACGTGACCACCTGCCACACACACCACGCACACGACACCACGTGGAGGGGTGGGGAACCTTTTTTCTGCCAAGGACCATTTGGATATTTGTAACATCATTCGCGGGCCATACAAAATTATCAACTCAAAAATTAGCCCGTTATATTTGGTCAAACGTTTAATTAACTCACCCTAATGCGATGGCTGGAACTGCTTCTCTTTGGCGAGGCATGTGATGATGTTAGCTGGTATTGATGATGTTGCTGCTACTCGCAACTGCTTTTCCAGGTTTGCTCCTAGATTTTTGAATTTCGAATCCCGCCTGCGGTTGCCTTGGCAGGGTCACACTAAATGATTTCGCGGGCCTTGTACGGCCCGCGGGCCGGACGTTCTCCACCCCTGAGTCGTACGACAACTCTGTCCGTGCCGGTGTCGTACCAACCCCATGCCTGTGCGAGGGACGTCGCGGCACTTTGTTTTTTTTTGCTTGTCGCTTGAGTGATTCGTCTTCGCTTTCCGGATGCTTCGCACTCCGATCGTGTGTTTTGCACCGTTTGTGGTCGTGACCTTCTGACCCGCCCCCCTTCCCCTTCGCGTAGCTCATCGGATTCCTCCGGTAGAAATCAAAGTTCCCATTCTGGTTCGATCGTTGGGTTCGCCGCCGTTGTCCGCGGCCGTTCGTGAGCGGGGATCGAACTCGGGTCCGGAGCCGGGTTCGCAGCTCGGCGCGCTAACCGCTGTGCCACCACTCCACCGGATCGCTGCGCGCGTGCGCTCGCTGCGTCGCGTTGACTGTGAATGGAGGTGGAGCAGAGACTGATTTGGGGAGCGGTGGTGCAGCGGTCAGCGCTACGCTGCGCTACTGAACCCGGCGACGCGAGTTCGATTCCCGCTCATGGCAAACACTGGTGGCGATGATCTGAACCGGTCCTGGGCCTCGCTAAGGTTGACTCTGCCTCAAAGGAGTACCTGGTGCGGTGTGTAGTAAACATCGCCACTGGGGGGACAAAAGCGGCCGGGGGTGGTGCTAGCCACCCACCCTCTCGTGTGCCGTCCCGACCTTCATAGGTGCTACTCGCTAACAGCACTTGCCCCAACAGTCTGTTAAGGCTACACGGGGGATCTTCACATTTGTTTGCTGGGATTGATGGAAACGTTCATGATGTCCTCCACGTGTTACAAAGCTGACAATTCTCAATAACGTCTTCATTATTATTATATGCCTCCTTGTTTGGTCCCGAGTAAACACGCCAAAGTTGGCACCAACCACGTGTCACCAACGTTGGCCCAACGTTGGTGACACGTGGTTGGTGTCAACGTTGGTGACACGTGGTTGGTGCCAACGTTGGGGACACGTGGTTGGTGCCACCGTTGGTGACACGTGGTTGGTGCCAACGTTGGGGGCACGTGGTTGGTGCCACCGTTGGGGACACGTGGTTGGTGCCACCGTTGGGGACACGTGGTTGGTGCCACCGTTGGGGGCACGTGGTTGGTGCCACCGTTGGGGACACGTGGTTGGTGCCACCGTTGGGGACACGTGGTTGGTGCCACCGTTGGGGGCACGTGGTTGGTGCCACCGTTGGTGACACGTGGTTGGTGTCAACGTTGGTGACACGTGGTTGGTGTCAACGTTGGGGACACGTGGTTGGTGCCAACGTTGGGGACACGTGGTTGGTGCCAACGTTGGTGACACGTGGTTGGTGTCAACGTTGGTGACACGTGGTTGGTGCCACCGTTGGGGACACGTGGTTGGTGCCACCGTTGGGGACACGTGGTTGGTGCCACCGTTGGGGGCACGTGGTTGGTGCCACCGTTGGTGACACGTGGTTGGTGTCAACGTTGGTGACACGTGGTTGGTGTCAACGTTGGGGACACGTGGTTGGTGCCAACGTTGGGGACACGTGGTTGGTGCCAACGTTGGGGGCACGTGGTTGGTGCCACCGTTGGGGACACGTGGTTGGTGCCACCGTTGGGGACACGTGGTTGGTGCCACCGTTGGGGACACGTGGTTGGTGCCACCGTTGGGGACACGTGGTTGGTGCCAACGTTGGGGACACGTGGTTGGTGCCAACGTTGGGGACACGTGGTTGGTGCCACCGTTGGGGACACGTGGTTGGTGCCACCGTTGGGGACACGTGGTTGGTGCCACCGTTGGGGACACGTGGTTGGTGCCAACGTTGGGGGTACGTGGTTGGTGCCAACTTTGCGTGTTTCCTGTCCGCAGCCGCCGCCGCCTTCATCGGCCTCATGTACATCGTGGCGCGCTACAAGTACTTCAAGGGCTACATGGGGACGGACAACAAGCGGTGAGCGTGCGACACCGCGGCACCCAACGCACGATCGCCCCAACGTCGGGTCAACGTTGCGGCCGACGTTAAACTCGACGTTCAACCCACGTGCCAACGCAAATGACAGCTCAACAGAGCGGCGTATCGTCACCGGTTGGGAATGACTAACAGCGGCCGCATACTCACTCCTTAGACACGCGGCGTTGATTCTAAATGTGGGAGGGGAAAACCGGGAGAAGAACCCGGAGAAAATCCACGTAACCACCGAGAGAGACACGTGAACTCCAAATATACAGCAGCAGGCGTCAAAGATGATCGAACCCACGACCTCCTGTAGACCAGGCGAGGTAGTTAACATCTCCTAGCCACTGTGATGATGATGAGAGAGAGAGACACGCAAACTCCAAATATACAGCAGCAGGCATCGTCAGGGTCGGGATCGAACCCACAACCTCCTGTAGACCAGGCGAGGTAGTTAACATCTCACCACGGAGAGAGACACGCAAACTCAAAATGTACAGCAGGCATCAGGGTCGGGATCGAACCCACGACCTCCTGTAGACCAGGCGAGGTAGTTAACATCTCACCACGGGGAGAGAGACACGCAAACTCCAAATATACAACAGGCGTCGTCAGGGTCGGGATCGAACCCACGACCTCCTGTAGACCAAGCGAGGTAGTTAACATCTCATAGCCACCGCGGCTCACTGCGGTCAACTCATTGGAGGGGGGGGGGGTATTGAAGTAACTGGATCCCCCCCCCCATTGTTTTAAAAAAACTGCGAGCGCGCCGGGAGTTGGAATCGAACCCGGCCCCCGCTGCCGCCGTGTCACGTGACCGTTGCGTCACAGCGGCAGCCGTCCCTGGGCACGTGGCGAATGATCATGGTCATGATAATCATTTCGACGACGATGATGATGATGATGTCATCGTGATTATGATTGCACCATCATCATCACGTGCCGGATTTAGCGAAAAAGTCAACGAGCCCACAGGCGGGGAGGTCTGCTCGACAGCTCTCGCCCAGGCAGGCAGAGGAGGAGGCCTTGAGGTGTTGTGGATATGTTTAGTAGTGTAGTGTGTATAGTAGTGTATAGTAGTGTAGTGTATAGTGTAGTGTATAGTAGTGTAGTGTATAGTGTAGTGTATAGTAGTGTAGTGTATAGTGTAGTGTATAGTCGTGTAGTGTATAGTGTAGTATATAGTATAGTGTATAGTAGTGTATAGTGTAGTGTAAAGTGTAGTGTATAGTGTAGTGTATAGTAGTGTAGTGTATAGTGTATAGTAGTGTAGTGTAAAGTGTAGTGTATAGTGTATAGTAGTAAAGTGTATAGTAGTGTAGTGTATAGTGTAGTCACTGTAGTGTATAGTGTAGTGTATAGTAGTGTATGGTGTAGTGTATAGTAGTGTAGTATATAGTGTAGTGTATAGTAGTGTAGTGCATAGTGTAGTGTATCAGAGGCCTTGAGATGTTTCTTAAAAGTCCGAGTGTCGTCATCTCCTTCCATCGTCGTCATCCCCTCCTCCTTCTTCTTGTTGCAGAGTGCCCGGCTATTTCCTGGCCAAGCGGTTGATGTTCTCGCTCTCGGCTCTCTCCGCCGTTGGGCTGCTCAACTTCGCCCTGTGGTGGTACTACCAAGTCAGCCTCCTCGACCACCTGAACCTCGTGGCCAAGGCAGCCTCGGCCCTGCTGCTCTTTGTATGAACGTGGCCTCGACCACGTGGTCTGACCACGTGGCCTCGAGCACGTGGCCTCGACCACGTGGTCGAGTTGCAGAGGTCAGGGCGCTGAGACGCCAACGGGGAGGGCCCGGGTTCGAATCTGGGCGATTGCCTGCGATTAAGGGGCCGTTCGTAAATGACGTCACGCACCTGGGGGGAGGGGGGGGGGTCAGACATTTGTGACGATGTGTGACGAGGGGGGGGGGGATTCAGAAATGTGACGTCACATCAAAATGCGCAACTTTAAATAAATATAGACAAGCTATTTTTAGGTTTTTTCGGTAAAGTCACGTAGGTAAAAAAATAACATTAATAAAAGTAAAATAAAACAAATTTTTACTTTTATAAATTTAAATTTTTTACCTACGTGACTTTACCGAAAAAACCTAAGAATATGAATCCTTGCAGTCACAAAAGCTTGAAATCTAAAATATAGACAACACGTTCCACTTAATTAAACAGACTTTTTAATAAACGTTTTCTTCTACAACATCAGAGTGCAGTGCCACATTAATTACGCACTACAATGACAATAGTTTAAAGCGATTTGAAGCATGTTTTATTTTGGTGGGGGGCAGAGCTTTGTGACGTCACATTTGAGGGGGGGGGTCTGATTTTTTGTGACGCCGTGTGACGAAGGAGGGGGGGTCAAAAATCGTTAAAAATCGCGTGACGTCATTTATGGAGGCCCCTAAGCCGGCTTCTCAAATTGTTAGTGAGTTCATGACCTCGGCCTGGTCACGAGTGACTGCACACAACAACAAACAACAACAACAAACAACAACAAATATTCGGTGAAATGTCGCCGTGCACTAAATTTGGCTAAAGTCCAGCTCTGAGAATGAACAATATCGACAGATTCGACTCTCACGCGACGAACATGACAACATCCACGTGGGCGAGTGCTGCCCTCTGCTGTATGGAGCAGGGATCTCAGACGTAGCTCTGTGGGGTCCACTTCCACTGGCCGCTCTGCCGACACGGGAGGAGTGGTGTAACTGCTCTGCGAAAGTTCCAAAAGGTCAAACAATAGAATAATACAATATAATAATGCAAGATAACAATGCGATGTAACAAGACAAACGATATAACAATACAATAGAAGAATGAAATATAACAATACAATGTAATAATACAAGATAACAATACAATGTAACAAGACAAACAATATAATACAATATAAGAATAAAATATAACAAGTGCAATGTAATAATACAAGATACCAATACAATGTAACAGCACAGACAAACAAAACAACAACTAGATAACATCTAAGCAAATATATATTTAACGGAATAAAATGTTTCAAATTGAATAAGTGGCTTTTAACCCCAACCCAATGTCCCCTCTCTCCCCACTGAAGCTTTGTCACATGACCACGTGGTACGTGTGCCTAAAATAAATAAATAAAAACTCTCCACACGTGTGCTGTGACGACGGTTGTTCTTGGTTCTTTCGGTAAAGTCACGTAGGAGGGAAATAATAAAATGATAAAAAATAATACAATAATTCTCATGACGTTTCGGCCACAACGCAAGCAGCCGTCCTCAGGTGAAGAACAGGTCTGTCGGGAAGACAGCGTCTGAATGAAACACCCATGCAGGCTTGGAGCGTCTATTTAAGCTGCTGGGTTGGAGGGGGAAGAGCGCCTTGACAAAAACAGGTCCCTGCGGGGTGGGCTGGTAGGAACGAACAAATACGATACGAAGGGAGAGTTTGAGGCCTAGTTCTAGGCTTTAGGCCTAGCTGTAGGCTTTAGGCCGCTGTGAGTTAATTTTTAATTTTTTTTTTTTATTATTTATGTAAAAGCTTTACATTTAAATGTTTCTATTTAAAAGCATCAGGGAATGTAACATTGTTAAACATTAACTCCCTTTCACACACGCGGGGGTACGATACGAAGGGAGAGTTTGAGGCCTAGTTCTAAGCTTTAGGCCTAGCTGTGAGTTAATTTTTAACGTAAATGTTTTAATTAAAAACTATCTCAGGGAATTAAAAAACTATCTCAGGGAATTATAAGGGAATGTTACACTTGTTTAGCCAGAAAAGCCTCACTGAGTCTAAAGGTTTTTGTAGGGTTCTGCCAAGTGTTTTCAGTAGGGGGCGATGTTCCTACACCTAATCGGACATCGGACGGACGGACGATATAATCTATTGTAGGCTGGTTCACTTCGTTCCTACCAGTATAATGTGCATATCTTACCTTATTAGTGAAACACGAAGGTTTTGGCGACCAACATCATCCTTACTAGAGAAGAGCGCACAAGGCGTGCTGGTCACCACGCCGACGCCTCGACACAAGGCACGGAACAGGCGGACTTCTCCACACATCTGGCTGCTGACCTCCTGATGAAGCCGGTTGTGATTGCTGGCGAAACGTCGTACACTCGGATTGCAAATGTTGTGGCGTCGTGTTGTACGAGTAACCAATTTGCCACGTTGTGTTACGTGACAAACCTCACTAGTTGGCTGTGGCTGGTGGTGGCGGGTTTAACGACACATTCATATATTTACGCGATCTCACCCCCCCCCCCCCCAAAAAAAAAACAACTCTATTATCTTTCGATTTAAAGCTTTCATGACTGCAGGGATTCATCTTCTTGGTTCTTTCGGTAAAGTCACGTAGAAGGGAAAATAATAAAATAATAAAAATAAAACATAATAAAATAATTCTCACGACGTTTCGGCCACAACGCAAGCAGCCGTCCTCAGGTGGAGAACAGGTCTGTCGAGAAGACGGCTGCTTGCGTTGTGGCCGAAACGTCGTGAGAATGATTTAATGATGTTTTATTTTATTATTTTATTATTTTCCTTCTACGTGGCTTTACCGAAAGAACCAAGAAGATGAATTATATTATCTTACTTTTATTAGTACATATTTCGAACGTTTTTTGTTTACAAATCCTATACTTTGCACTCCTATCGTGTTTTTGTATTGTTTTTTTAACCTCCCGCCCTATCCAGACATCAGTGATCAAGAGCTTCATAGATAATCGGATTTCCTCCTCCACTCTATCATAAATTATGTTAATGAGGCTTCCACCACACATACCATATATGGTAAGGGGGGATCGCTGCGTCACGAGCCTGCCAGCCAATCAACGCGCGCCGAATTGAACTAGCGGACGAGTCCACTTGGACGGGTAATAACAGGAGCGTTCCACAAAGTTCAACTCTCTCGTCCGCTTCGACGAAGGCGCTTTGCGGCAAATTTTCATCGCTACAAGTCTCGCTCTTCGTTATCAACCTCGCCCGATACTTGGTTTCGCCCGACGCTTGATAAACAACACTGTGATCTGGAGCAAACACCCCCCCAGCTCGCCTGTCAATGGAGGATGAGGTGGTGGTGGTGGTATTGCTGCTGCTGCTGTGATGTAAAAAAACATGTCCCATACGCTGAAACATCATCGCTCATGAATCGCGGCCGCTCCAATCGACACGTCTAGAACCGCCGCGAGAGAGCTTCACGCAGCGGCGCCGACTCGGACGTAGGTCTCGGCACCACGCCCGTGTTCACGCTGACAACACCGCGGCGGCGTTTCTCTATTCAACACCCACCACCTCCTTCACCCCGACCACCCCGGGGTGTGTGTGCTAGTCCTAGTAGGGGGTGAGAAGGGGTGTAACAAGGCACTCCCGTGGCTCTGTGTGGTGTCAAGTGTTGTGAGACGGCTGGTGGTGGTTAGCGGTGATGGTGTTGTGGCTAAACTGGCGTGTGAAAGGGTTTAAAGTGGAGCTTTAAAAGTTAAAAGTTTTGCTCGGAACGGCCTCCTACGCTGCGTGTGCTCCGCTCGCTGACGGCTGCTGCTGCTGCTGCCGAAGGTGCCAGGCCGTGGCGACGTGACGCTCGCTGAGAGTTGGAGCGCCGTGGGCCCTCGGGCTCGGGCCGCGGGCTCGGGCCCTCGGCGAGGCCTGCGCGCTTAGGCCGCGGTCGTGTTGGTGATGCGGGGACGGGGGCGGTCGGCCCCCGGGCTCACGCTCCGGCGGGCGGGGGGGGGGGGGCCTCACGCATGAGAACGAGGCCTCATTGGGGAGTGAGGCCTCACGCATTGTGGGTGAGGCCTCACGCATTGGGGGTGAGGCCTCATTGGGAGTGAGGCCTCACGTATTGTGAGCGAGGCCTCACGTATTGTGAGCGAGGCCTCACGCATTGAGAGTGAGGCCTCATTGGGGAGTGAGGCCTCACGTATTGAGAGTGAGGTCTCACTCATTGTGAGCGAGGCCTCACGCATTGAGAGTGAGGCCTCATTGGGGAGTGAGGCCTCACGTATTGAGAGTGAGGTCTCACTCATTGTGAGCGAGGCCTCACGCATTGAGAGTGAGGCCTCATTGGGGAGTGAGGCATCACGTATTGAGAGTGAGGTCTCACTCATTGTGAGCGAGGCCTCAGGGAGTGAGGCCTCACGCATTGAGAGTGAGGCCTCACGCATTGAGAGTGAGGCCTCACGCATTGTGAGTGAGGCCTCACGCATTGAGAGTGAGGCCTCACGCATTGAGAGTGAGGCCTCACGCATTGGGGGTGAGACCTCACGCATTGTGAGTGAGGCCTCATTGAGAGTGAGGCCTCACGCATTGAGAGTGAGGCCTCACACATTGGGGGTGAGACCTCACGCATTGTGAGTGAGGCCTCACGCATTGAGAGTGAGGCCTCACGCATTGAGAGTGAGGCCTCATTGGGGAGTGAGGCCTCATTGTGAGTGAGGCCTCCTTGTGAGTGAGGCCTCCTTGTGAGTGAGGCCTCCTTGTGAGTGAGGCCTCCTTGTGAGTGAGGCCTCCTTGTGAGTGAGGCCTCATTGTGAGCGAGGCCTCATTGTGAGTGAGGCCTTGCGCTTTAGAGAGAGGCTCACTCATTGAGATTGAGGCCTCACACTTTGTGGAGTGAGGCTCACGCTCATAGACAAGAGGGAGAGGAGACCGGCGCTTCGTGGCCTTCTGTCTTGTAATGGTCACTTGTCAAGGCCTGTGGCTTCAACGTCTTTGGGTCCCCCACTCTTCGTGGTGTGAGATTGACACGCGTGTTGTTGCTGCTGCTGCAATGAAACTCAAGTCCCCGTGGCATGGGCCTGATGTAGATGCAGAGCAACAAGAACGACAATTTCACATTCAGGTGGTCCAAGCCCAGATAACCGCATCAGCAGCGGAGTAGCGT